GGTACGTTTATCCTTGCATGTGTGTTTGCAACAGGTATATGTGATCATGTCACCTTAGCTAGATCAGTAAAAGCATCCGACATGCTTTGAGCAATGTTCTGAATATCTATAATTTGTCGCACCTCATTTTCAGACTAGGCAGTAAGAGGATCTAAATGAGACATAGTGGGAACATACCACAACAATTTGCAGCGTTCTCCAGGAACGTTAGCATGCTTATCTCCCCCTAATGACGAGAAAATTGTCTCTTCAAAGTGACAATCTGCAAAACGTGTGGTAAAAAGATTTCCTGTCAACGGCTCTAAATAGCGAACAATTGACGGCGAATCATAACCGATATAGATTCCCATTTTTTCTCTAAGGACTTATTTTGGTACGTAGTGGTAGCGCTATTGGCACATAAACTACGCATCTAAACACACATAAATGTGAGACGTCAGACTCGTATCTAGTAACCAACTGTAACGGTGAATGAGGTTGGGTAGTGGTGGGTTTCAGGCGGACCAGCATAACTGTGTGCAATATTAGATAGCCTCAGGCAGATACTGGCAGTTTGGTTCGCATAACCAAAGTCTGAGCTATCACTTGAAGATGCTTTATGAAAGCTTCTGCCAGGCCATTTTGGGTGTGAACTTGGGGTACATGATGTTCCACATCAATCCTTACTGACATGCAATAATCGTCAAAAGTCTGTAACGTAAACTTTCCAACTTTATCCAGTCGAATTGACTTGATCGGATACTCAGGGTGGTAAACCCTTAGCTTAATAATTTATGCTAGGAGTTTTGCAAATGCAACATTGCATGTGAACAATAGGCAAACATGTGACTATCGTGTCGATGCATCAACCAACACCATAAAGTATCTAAATGGTCCGCATGTTGATTGGATAGGTCCACAAATATCCCCTTGAATCCTCTGAAGAAACTTAGAAGGGTTGTGAATAATCTTTGTATTTGAGGGTTGAGTATTTAACTTCCCCAAAGAACACGCTTTGCATGGCAGGAATCAAACGGAATGATGTAAATGATGCCCATGTGATGATTTGAGGATACAGTGCGTCATGTCACATCCGAGATGTCTCATACTATCATGTCAAAGCTGCAAAGTGCTCTGGAACTTAGGCACATGGCAGGCCACATGGTGGACTTTTATGCCGCGAATGGTTGTGATGTACAACCTACTCGGGACACGTTCCAACTTCTCGTGAATACGCTTTTGGCCATATTTGTACGACATGATACGAAGAAATTCAGAACCATTATCTTCAGTTGTTTCAATATGATATCTCTAAAACTCAGCAACGTTCTTTCGGACGTGGAGAATAGAATGCCTCTTTAATGGTTAAAACAGTACCATTGGACAACTTGATATGGACCTTTGTGTATCCTTCAATCAGGTTGGATGGGCCTGAGAGAGATGTCAGAGGTGCGTTCTTAGGTACAAATTTAGTAAAATAGTGATGCTCATGCAATATGGAGTGCGTGGTAGCATTATCAGCCAAACAACTAACTTCCCCACTAGACATATACTTAGAAATAAATTGATTGAATTTGTCACATGCATAAATATAATTCCATTAATTCAATTCATCAATTTGAGAAATAATATCTATAAAATAACAATCCTTAATTCAAAACAAATCAAAACCAAACAAATTATTTCAAATACTTAAAAAAAATTGTCCAAAAATTAAACCATAAACCTAAAAATTAGGAGGGGGGTCCAGCCACTCCTAGTGGGTTTGGTCACTAGGGGTAAAACACCCTAAAAACATGTCTAAAATTTATTCGTCCATAGGAGCTGATGCCCCCTGAAAATCTCATATCTTCATAGATGTAATAGCATCTTCCGGATTTTCCACATGCGCAAAGTTAGACTCATGACGGGAATGATATTTGGCAATAGCCTCGGGGGTAGCTCTACATACGCATGACCAATGATCATTTGATCCACAGCGGTAGCACATGTCCATTTCTGTGGAAGCCGATTGAACGATAACTTTTCCCTTGTTCTTGAAGTATGGGGCCTTAGTGGCAAGGGGTTGGCTCTTTTGGGTCAAATTTCCTCCCTTGGGTGGGCCTTGATTATGTGGACCTTGGGATCGTGGTTGGGCTTGCCACCCATTGCCACAGCCACGATGATTTTTGCGACATTTATGGCTGCTAAAATTGGTCGCATGGGCTTCAAGTGCGGTGTTCAAGCTAGTAGGTCGAGCTTGATGATTCTTCGTCAAAAGTTAGTTCTGTTTTTCAGAGAGAAGTAAAAAAGAGATCAAATCCAAAATTTGGTGAATTTCTATGCCCTATATTGTTGCTGCAGGATAATATTGGTGGCATGAAAGGTCGAATAGGTCTTTTTCAAGAGATCTGATTCGGTTAGTTCCACTTTACAGAATTTAAGTAGTGATCAGATTCTACAAACTTTAGAGTTGTATACATTCACGGACTTAAAGTTTTGAAAGCGAAGATGGTGCTAGTCGTGTCTTGCTTCAGGCAAGTAGATGTCTTTCTGGTGATCGAAACGGTAGGCCAGAGCAAGCCAGATAGTGCGCGGGTCATCATCATCAAGGTACTCAGTTTGCAGAGCATCATGGATGTGTCTTCAAATGAAGATCATTGCAATAGCTTTCTGAGCTTCGTCGACAGGTTTGTTGTCGGTATGTGCCTCGATAGTGGCTCTAATACCCTTTAAAATAAGATGGAGTTTCACGTCTTGAACCCACTTCAGGTAGTTTCTTCTAGATACTTCTAGAGCGGTGAAATCGAGTTTGTTTAAGTTCGACATGTCCCTAAAACAGAAGGTACAACAAAAACGTGTTTAGTTATATGGTAATCCATAGACATACATCGTAGAACATTTGGGTTCTATAGATATGTATTGGTTTGATTTAAGCATGAAAGCTACAAGTTTAATGTGGTAAGTTTTGAATGAAACTTCGGGTTTCAAAGGCACTAAATATGAAACTACAGGTTCAATTTACTTTTATGAATGATTAGTTCATAAAGGAGAGATTCCTACAAGAACACATAATGCAATATGCTGATTTAAGTGTAGTCGATTTGAGTTGCTTCGGAAACTCAAGTGTGAGAGTTTCGGGACTACAAAAGGATGTCAACGGTTCAAAGGATAAAAATAAATTATTGAATCATTAATGTCCAAAAGTGATCAGGTCAATAATTTTAGATTAATTATCAGATTAATGGACTGCAAATCACTTTTAATTAATTCAATAGATTGAGACAAAACGGGGTCAATTGTGGAAGCAAAATAATGACAAATGGGTCATATTAGCTTCAGTTGGTGATAAACCAAGTGATAATTAAATTAGAATTAATTAGCGCAAATCAAAGCTCCCCAAAAAATATTTTGGGCATGATTTATAATGCGGGGATCAAAAAAATTGGCTTTGGGTCGAAAAAATAACCTAGGAGTGGACCCTACAGATTTGGCTGCGGTCGTATTGGGTCACGGGAGGGCTGCAGGACTCGGGCCGTGTGGTCTGGGGAGCATAGCAGCCAAGGCTACTGGTATTAGGCTAAGAAATTGGACACGGGTGTAGGCCCAACAAAAAGTTGGTTGTGAGTTGGTCTAGGGAGCCCAACTAAAGTTGGGTTTGGGTCAAGGCAAGCTAAGCCCAATAGCAAAAGTTGCGGGCAAGTGGGCCGATGCGAGGTCAAAGCCCAGCAAGCGGCATAGGCTTGTTGCAGTCGGGCCTAGGGCGCATGACAAAGCACAACAGCACAAGGCTGCTAGTAAGTTGGGCCGAGAACACATGGATAGGTCTAAGAAAGGCTGCAGGGTTTCTAAGGAGATGGGCTGGGCTTCGTGCCTGGGTAAGCTGGCTAGGCCGAAGGCCTAGTGTGTCCGTGTAGGCGCAGCAAAATCCAAAGGGCTGTTGCCATAGTCCTGACGTTGGAACGACATCATCTTGATGGCGTGCTTGACGTGGTTGGGCTGCAGGCCAGCGTAGAGGACAACGACGGTGCCACAATGGTGGTGCGGCGATTGTGCCGCACAATTTCCCAAAATATATATATATATATATATATATATATATATATATATCGGAAGTGCACCAGGGAATATGTTGAATATAGATTGTCTTTTCTTTCTTGCGATTCTCAGATGCTATCATCCAGTTTTCTAAAATTGATGATATGATGGGATTGATTTTCTTCATCTGAAGCATAAAGAGTATGCTGACGTAATTTGGACTTACCTCAGCAGCCATTTAAGAGATCAGTCTGAAATTAGGCGCATCACAGGTTTCTGAGATTGTTATTACGACAAGCCTCTGTTTTTTATGCACATGTCACTTGAAATAAATCTCATGGTAGCACATGTAGAGATGCATCATCATTTTTTTTTGTTTTGTTTTTGGGCAAAACTTCATAATATTTGATACCTATATGTTTTAGGATCTATGTTCAATTTGTGACAGAGCAAGTATCAAATTTTACCAAATTTTGGTATGCTGCCTTTTGAGTGTCTGTTGAATGCGTAAATTTTTTTGTTATGGGTGAAAGGTGAGCTGGATGACAAAATGGCTGACCTAGAGTTGAAGAGAAGGAAACTAATTAATCTGAAAATGCAAAAGGATGTTGGACCTGGGGTGCAGAACCATACTTCTAGTGCACTTAATGGAACCCTGTCCTCCGTTGCACCGTCTTACTTTCTCTTCTCTCTCTCTCTCTCTCTCTCTCTCTCTCTCAGCATTTGTTGCAGATACTGGAAGCCGACCGCCTTTCTGAGTATCAAGACACACATGAAGAAAATTTACCGCTGTCAAAACAATTGCAAGAATTTCAGGTTTCTAATCTTAAATTCAAGTTTTGATAGCTGTTATTCATATGTTGTCCCAGGATGAAGTGAAGGATAACAAATACGTACTTTCTAAATGATCAACTCCAACATTGGAATGCTTGGTTTATGCGCAGATGTTTGGAATGCTTGCCCCATATTTTTTATGTTTTAAAAGTTTAATTTCAGGCTGACAGGGCTCTTGTTGTGAGAAGGGAGATGGACCTAAATATCAAATTAGAGTCAGCAGATGCAGTTAGGAATGCCATTGACAATTCTGATTCTAGGATTGAAGAACTAGAACTTCAGCTGCAGAAGTGTGTAATTGCAAAAAATGACTTTGAGATAAACATGGAAGAAGCTGTCCAGGATTCAGGTAAAAGTGTTATAAGTTTGATATTTTGTTGATATTAACTGTTAATTTACCCAAGCTTGTGGCACTGAAAATGCTCTTTGCTGCAGGAAGAAAGGACATTATAGCAGAGTTTCGTGTGATGGCCTCATCTTTGTGTAAAGAAATGGGAATGGTGGAAACTCAGTTGAAGCGGTGGAAGGAAACAGCTCATGAAACACTTTGTTTACGTGACAAAGCCCAATCATTGAAAGCTTCATTAAGTACAAAGGTCTACTTCCATTCCCAGTTAACTCTCTCATACTCATATCAGTTGCTTCAACTTATTAGTTGTAACTTGTATGGCAAGACAAGCCTGTGAAGTTGCTGTTTGTTCAAACATGTGTTTCCTATGTGCTTTTAAATTTATCACGTCTTATTAATTTTGTGTGCTTATGAATATTCTACCAAAATTGAGTTGCACATCAGTTGCTGCACACCTTAATTTTTTATGACATTCGAATTGAATAGATTAAAAATAAACATGACACGGAAATAAGAAAATGTGTTCCCCATGAAATTGAGTAAATATTGCTCTTGGTTTAATTTTTCGGAATGATATCGTGGCCTAGATTCGAGTCCAAGTCCTTTGTACTTTTTAAGTCAAATTCAATTTTTATCAAATTAGTAATTTCGTTTGGGAAATTGCACATATATAATATCCCACTTGGACAAAAAGGATTTACAATCAACAACATACACCTAGACTTTGCTACATGCGGTAATGTGACATTTATGGTAAATATTTTGTTACATGGGTAACTTGTGCAAAACAAATTTATCGATACGTGATATATTAAATGTATACTGTAATATCACATGAAGGAACACATATTCTTGAATTGTTAGATTAGAATATTTGGTGCACAATTTCATGTAAATATTTCTAATTCAAATACATTACATGTCATAATTTAGATAAATGAAAATGAGATTAAAAATTACACATCAATTTCTTCGTCTACTTATATAACCAAAATTTGGTGTTAGAGATGAGATCACGCCGGATGTCGGCGCTGATGCAGCGTCTGAGACATAGGTGGTTGACGTGAAAGCCACGTTTTAGGGGACAAAAAAAAAATAGTTTGATTACGTGGATGTGTTGTTTAGCTGCCACGACTCTCGTGACTCTGCGCACACTCCCTACAAAACAAAACGTCTACACAACTTCTCTCTCTTCACTCTCTCTCTCTCTCTCTCTCTCTCTCTCTCTCTCTCTCTCTCTCTCTTTGGATTTTGGATGAGTGCTAATACTCCCGACTGCTGAAAGTAAAGAAATTATCCTTAAACTCGTACTCGATCATGTCTCGCCTGAAGAACGACTGCTTGTCTTTCACTGTTTCATTGCAAGGGAGTTTTCGTTATGTTAAGGCATGCTTCGTTGGTCATGTTAGTTTGTTTCTTGCCTTAATGGCATAGCTATTTACAGACGTGAGCGTAACCACATTGGGCATAATCACATTGGCTAAAGCGGATTTAAGCCGTCCCACCGGCTGGAACGAATGTATGTAAAGGTGTGTTCTTTCTTGTGCGATATTAATTTTTTTGACGGTTGATTGATATTGGAGCAGGCTAAGAAGTTGACAGCAAGGAATGAGCAGGAAGCAACAGAAGCAGAGCTTCAAACAGCCAAAATCCAAGTTGAAGCAGCTGATGCCGCTGAGGATACCAAAAACAGACTCCACAATTCTCCCTAATGTAATGTAATTGCTCTAACAGTTCTACATTTCTTTCTTTTGTTATAATTGAGCAGAATATATTTTGCAATTTAAAATTTTGAATTGATTTGTATTGTTTGATTTCTGAATTTCGCTTTCAACTAAATTCTTTTGCCTCCAAATTAGATGCATTGTCCTTCTTAGAATATAAGAAGAAAAATTGTTGCTTCACATCCTACCAATTAATTTGGGATATTCACCCATTTTAATTTTTTCCAAAAATATTTGAATATCAATCTCATAAATATCATCAATTTAGATGATATCATAAGCATCATACTAAATTCCATCAATCGAATTGCTTTTTCAAGGAATACGAGAAATTATTTATTATTATTTTTTTTAGTTTATTCGATTTGATAGCAGAAAATTAAGAAAAATGTGTAAGAAGTCAAAATAAGTGCGTGGATAGCACTACCTTTACTTTAACTTATTTATAGTGTGTAAATAATGTGCATTCACATATGATCCAACAAGTGAATAAAACACACACAACAAATAAGAAATAAGAAATTGCCAGAGAGTATGATAAGTTTAAGGTATTTATACATTAAATTTTAATATTATCCTCATTAATTTGTGTTAATTAAAGAAGCACATATATAATTTAGGTGGTACTGGAAGAAGAAGATGATGGACCTTCTAAACGAATATAGTCATACATGAGTCCGTGGAAAGGAGCCAAAGGGCTAGTGCTCATTGTTTGCGTTAGAAATAGGGTATTGGCTCCTTCCACCAGCAATGTGCCTGGTATATCTATGTTATACAGCCAGTACAGACCATGGATTCCATGCCTAGCAATTGTATTGTCATTTCCAATCACTCCGGTCGTAAACAGCGGAGGGTCTGCTTTCGAATCATTTATTCGAATCTTCAATAGGAAAAGAACAACAAAAGCAGCCAGATTAGTTAGAGCTTTGGTTACATTTACATGCAATTCTACACATAACATGTACCTGTAATTCTGCAATGTTTGCAGTGGCAAGGGCTATTCGAAGTTTGAGGGTATCACTTTCACTGAAATGCTTAAGTTGAAACTTGATTTGCCATGTAGTGCCTTGATATGTGTAATCATCATTCTTCCTATATATTGTAAAACAAAAGTCTCGAAGTTAAGGCTACGGATTTAATTTCGAAATTTATTTGTTAATTTAACTACTCACAAAGAATGACACATTGAGAAAGTAAAGCCAATGTAGGTTAGGAAGAACTCCACCTAGGAACCTGGGCGAAGAACCAATCTTTAGTGTAGTCACTGGTGCCGATGCAGTAAATTAAATCTTCATCAGGATATAACTCTTGATATCTTTCCCATAATCCGTACTGCCTAAACCTGAAGGTGTAGGTAAGAAAATGATCAAGATCTTTTATGCAGTGGAACGTGAAGAAAGTTGAGGTTCCACCATAAAACCAACTGACAATATGAGAAGTAACCAACTATTTATAAGTACATGCAAGGTCCCTTCTGTCACCGATATGAGATTAATACTCTCAACCAAACATACACACACATAGGAAAATGTGTTAGCAAATGAAAGGATGACAAAAGAAAAAATAAACTCATTGCAAAATTTTTCTTATTCTATTGACTAAAACATAGAAGAACACAAACTTCTATAAAATCACAAAAGATGTATTTATAAAGACCTGATCTTGAAACAAAAGGGTTCACGATTAATAGGAAAGCAAACATAATCTATATCCTACTAACTAGAAAGCCCTAATACATAAAACACCACAAAAGAATACCCTAACATAAAAATAAACCAAATCACTAACTTGCTAACTTTTCCAACAAAATGTTCTGTTGGTTCTCTTGCCAGATTGATGTCTATGTTGGTAGCTTGCTGTGAATCTAGATCACACATTCAAGCAAAAGCCAAAATCAAGTTGATGAATGATGGCAACCAGCCCTCTTATCTTTGCCAAAGATGTCTGGTAAGAGAACATTTATCTGTGATGTGTAGTAGCTTATGTTGAATTGTAATCTTGTCTTAGCCCAAAAATAATTGATCCGGCCCATACACAAAGAAATATCCATGCACATGCTAGAGAATTCTAGCAAAGTTCAAGTTGGTGGAAGAGTCTAGAAGAATGGTGAGGATTCCACCAACATACAAGATTAGTGTAGATAATTCTAGCTTAGGAAGGTAGTGGAATTATCTAGATATCTCTAGCATAATGTTTTCATGCTTCTCCAAGGTTCCATCCATGCCTATAAAAGGAGAAGGCATCCACACCATTTGTAACAACCAAGAGAGCAAGTAGCAAGAAGTGAGAGTGTCAAGTAAGAAGTAAGAAGAAGCAACAAAGCTTCTAAGAGTGTTTGAGTGTTTCCTTTTGTACTAAGTTTGTGAGTGAATAAAAACCTTGTGTAATACTTTGAGAATTCTTTATTTCTCTTGCCTATCAATTCCGCTGCGTTACATTTTTCTTTGTGAGATAAACCTCTCCAAGTAGTGAAGCATTTTTAAACCCCCAACAGCTTATACGTTCACGGACTGCTATAGTACTATAGTAGTCAGATGTAGATTGCTGTGACTAAATTTAAATTCCATAGAGATGGAGTGGTCAGTTAACCAAGCTCGAAAACTAACCTATCAGGATGGTTGACATAAAGTTTATTGATATACATTGGATTAGGATCAGGAACATAGAATTCAGCAGCAGAACGATCAGGGATGCCAATTTCCCACAACGTTGGTCCATCTCTTGGAGGCTCATATACAATATCATCCACATCAATATCACAACCTGCTTATTAATATAGACATATATTAAAGTATTGATCATAACGGTAATTCATCAAGTCTTCTGGAAGAGAAAAATATGAGAGAGACCTGCGGTTATGCTAATAGTTGCGTCATATCGATAATCTCCGATAAAACCAGGACACCATGCATAGAGATTATAGTCACCCTCGCGTATATTCTGTATAGAGTAATATCCTTTCTCATCTGCCCTAGTCCAGAACTGGTAGCCCTGATATATAAAATGCAAACATGGTCAACCAATTGAGTGGCAATACTCTTTCCTACTAGTTCCTGTTTTCCGAGTTCTTGGAAAACAGTACTTGCTCGGTTATAAAGTTGAGAAAACAAATCACCTTACAATCTCTTTGCCATGATCCAGCGTCTCCTGGTGGTGCCAAGCCTACATATGCACCGTTTCCAGGTACGCGATCTTTACTAACATACCTAGACATGTATAGATTTAAGTAAAATTTTGGACGAATTTCACAAAAACTGGGAATAAAAGACAGTATATTCAATTCTCATGATATCTATGTACTTCCAATAATCTACTAATTAGTTAGCTTAAGTAATATTACATGACGAGGTGTTTTTATTTGGGTTAAGTAATAGTACCTATCCAGAATCTGTATTCTACCCTTAACATTACCCCGTTCATCCGACGGCGGATAATCCTTGGAAGCAGGAAACTTGTAAGGCCAGCTTTGCACTTCTGTCATCATCTGAATATCCAAAGTAAATGTTCTAGCTACTTATTAGTTATCAGTCTCTGAATTTTTTGAACATAAATGAATATAAATACTTTTAGAGTTTGTTTAAATTAGAAGAAAAAAGGTCGACCTGTTTTTTTG